ATGGTCGTCGGAGGGGGTCAAATCAACGCAAATTCACCGAAAATTGTTCTAAAACCCGTATCAATCCACGAAGACAAGTAGAATAGCCAGCAAACTCTCAGAATATTTTTTAGTACATATTAACACATATTATATCTGAAAACCAGGCGATTTTAGATTAAACTGTTTCGCTAGGAGCAAATTTTGTTGAATTTTCTATTGGATTTGACGATTCTGTCCCGCACATAAACATGCAGTGACGTCATAGTGAAATAGGGCAATTGACGCCAACTATTTGTCGTTGTCGTTATTGTTACTTACAGCTATTTTCATGAACATGCGACCTCGGTGCTCTTGAGTTACACGCTGAAATTTGGTTTTCCGTCATTTGTCATCAATCAAACCTAATCAGTCGGTACCTTTCATATTTTTGACATATATTTGGCAGCGAAAAACCAAATTTCAGCGTTCATAATGACGATCGATTTTCACTCGTATTAACTGCTGATGACTCCGACTCCGATTGCGATTGCGATTGCGATTGCGATTGCGACTCCGATTCCGATTCCGATTCCGACTCCGATTCCGATTCCGACTCCGATGCAAGTGAAAACCAAGCTTCACGATTTTTTTGTCTTCTATCTTTCTTAGTTCTCCTACTCTCTCCTTTAAAAAATAAATAATAAAAAAATATCTTCCAAAATTACCTTCAAACTTGGAGCGCACTCTTCAATGACGACATGAACCAAATCAACGTAAGCTTTCTTCACATACAACTCGAATCCAAGTGAATATTTAGGACTCCCTTTGATGCTATTTTTTAGAATRATTAAGTTGATACCAGAATTATAGACGAATCCCTTGCATTTRGGTCCCATCCAGCTACACATAGCCTTCCCTTTTCTTGGAACACGGGCGTGGAGTTCAAGATAAAACGCGCATTTTCCTGGCACTTGTGATCTTTTGCAGGAGAAGTCGCCACCTAAAGGGAGGTCCATGTTTTCAATCTGAAAAAAAATTAAGACATTCATTTGATAGCCTGTGATGTGCAGTGATGTGAAATTTAGAAATATAGAAATATTCTAGGAATGTTCTATTGTTCTTTGACCAATCAGAATAGACCTTATTCGTGGTGTGACAATGTTTTCCCAAGTTCGGCGTGACAAACTTCTGGGGGAATGAAGAGCTATTGCTTTGAAACTCGTCGGGATATCATCGTTATTCCTTTCGTATCCTTTGGGATACTCATGAATGTTTCGAAGAGTAAAAACAAAAGAAAATGAATTCCCCTAGGAGGTTCGTCACGCTGAATTGGGAAAACATTGTCACACCACTAATAAGGTCTATTGGGTTTCAAACCACAAGATAACGGAAAGATAACAATAACGCTTCTGATTGGTTAATAAACATTCTTGAAATACTTCTAGGTGCCCATGSTTTTTCAATTGCCCTATTTCACTATGACGTCACATCAAAATAATCTATCGTTAAAACGCAAAGCATCATGGTCGTCGGAGGGGGTCAAATCAACGCAAATTCACCGAAAATTGTTCTAAAACCCGTATCAATCCACGAAGA